ACAACACTACAGCACGTAAAAGACTTTGTCGTTTTTTTGACTTTTTATGCCTTACTATACTATGATGTTTTTATGACTTTTTATGCCTTGCTATACTATGACGTTTTTATGACTTTTTATGCCTTACTATACTATGACTTTTTATGCCTTACTATACTATGAAGTTTTTATGACTTTTTATGCCCTACTATACTATGACGTTTCTTTGACTTTTTATGCCTTACTATACTATGAAGTTTTTATGACTTTTTATGCCTTGCTATACTATGACGTTTTTATGACTTTTTATGCCTTACTATACTATGACGTTTTTTTGACTTTTTATGCCTTACTATACTATGAAGTTTTTATGACTTTTTATGCCCTACTATACTATGACGTTTTTTTGACTTTTTATGCCCTACTACACTATGATGTTTTTATAACGTTTTTATGCCTTACTATACTATGACTTTTTTATGACTTTTTATGTCTTACTATTCTATGTCGTTTTCTTGACTTTTTGTGCGTTACTATACTATGACTTATTATGCCTTACTATACTATACTATGATGTTTTTATGTCTTTTTATGTCTTACTATTCTATGTCGTTTTCTTGACTTTTTGTGCGTTACTATACTATGACTTATTATGCCTTACTATACTATACTATGATGTTTTTATGTCTTTTTATGTCTTACTATTCTATGTCGTTTTCTTGACTTTTTGTGCGTTACTATACTATGACTTATTATGCCTTACTATACTATACTATGATGTTTTTATGTCTTTTTATGTCTTACTATTCTATGTCGTTTTCTTGACTTTTTGTGCGTTACTATACTATGACTTATTATGCCTTACTATACTATACTATGATGTTTTTATGTCTTTTTATGTCTTACTATTCTATGTCGTTTTCTTGACTTTTTGTGCGTTACTATACTATGACTTATTATGCCTTACTATACTATACTATGATGTTTTTATGTCTTTTTATGTCTTACTATTCTATGTCGTTTTCTTGACTTTTTGTGCGTTACTATACTATGACTTATTATGCCTTACTATACTATACTATGATGTTTTTATGTCTTTTTATGTCTTACTATTCTATGTCGTTTTCTTGACTTTTTGTGCGTTACTATACTATGACTTATTATGCCTTACTATACTATACTATGATGTTTTTATGTCTTTTTATGTCTTACTATTCTATGTCGTTTTCTTGACTTTTTGTGCGTTACTATACTATGACTTATTATGCCTTACTATACTATACTATGATGTTTTTATGTCTTTTTATGTCTTACTATTCTATGTCGTTTTCTTGACTTTTTGTGCGTTACTATACTATGACTTATTATGCCTTACTATACTATACTATGATGTTTTTATGTCTTTTTATGTCTTACTATTCTATGTCGTTTTCTTGACTTTTTGTGCGTTACTATACTATGACTTATTATGCCTTACTATACTATACTATGATGTTTTTATGTCTTTTTATGTCTTACTATTCTATGTCGTTTTCTTGACTTTTTGTGCGTTACTATACTATGACTTATTATGCCTTACTATACTATACTATGATGTTTTTATGTCTTTTTATGTCTTACTATTCTATGTCGTTTTCTTGACTTTTTGTGCGTTACTATACTATGACTTATTATGCCTTACTATACTATACTATGATGTTTTTATGTCTTTTTATGTCTTACTATTCTATGTCGTTTTCTTGACTTTTTGTGCGTTACTATACTATGACTTATTATGCCTTACTATACTATACTATGATGTTTTTATGTCTTTTTATGTCTTACTATTCTATGTCGTTTTCTTGACTTTTTGTGCGTTACTATACTATGACTTATTATGCCTTACTATACTATGACGTTTTTATGACTTTTATGCCTTGCTATACCGTGACGTTTTTATGCCTCAATATACTATGATGTTTTTATGACTTTTTATGTCTTACTATACTATGTCGTTTTCATGACTTTTTGTGCCTTACTATACTATGACGTTTTTTTGACTTTTTATGCCTTACTATACTATGACTTTTTATGCCTTACTATACTATGACCTTTTTATGACTTTTTATGCCTTGCTATACTATGACGTTTTTGACTTTTTATGCCTTGCTATACTATGACGTTTTTATGACTTTTTATGCCCTACTGTACTATGACGTTTATTTGACTTTTTATGCCTTACTATACTATGATGTTTTTACGACTTTTTATGCCTTACTATTTTATGACTTTTTATGCCTTACTATACTATGACTTTTTATGCCTTACTATACTATGACGTTTTTATGACTTTTTATGCCCTGCTATACTATGATGTTTTTACGACTTTTTATGCCTTACTATACTATGACTTTTTATGCCTTACTATACTATGAAGTTTTTATGACTTTTTATGCCCTACTACACTATGACGTTTTTTTGACTTTTTATGCC